GATAGTCGCCCACAGGTTTAACATCCTAACAGATGATGTGCCAGGAAGGTCTGTCAGTGGCACCTTGTTTACTACTCTCGCCACCACAGAAATAAAATCCAGTGTCCTCCTCAACAAACAACAACAACAAAAAGGAAAAAAATCATCAGACAAATACTGGCCCATTTAAGGGAGCTTCTCTCCCTCTTCCCCCCAGCGTTGTGCTCTTGTCACTCAGGCAGCAACTCAGACTATATCCGTGATCTTATGTCCCTTAAATTGGAAAGGGAGTTTTTCCCCCATGGACTTCAGTGGGTGTTGAATTATGCCCTATATTATCCCTCTCTCCCACCCAAAAGAGAATATCTCCTCCTCCCCACTTCTCCTCCTCTCCCAGTCCTATAGTGAGATGCCACATTCAGATGAAAAGGTGGCCCAAAATGGCCCTCTGCTTGAGGAGGGAATTGAATGTAGGCCTCACAGGTGAGTGATCTAGCCATGAAGTAATAAGGTGGGCACCTCCTCCTACTTCAAAATCTGGCAGGGACCCTGCTAGGCAGCTTCTGAGCAACATGGGTGAGATAGGTTTCAGAGTAACAGCTGTGTTAGTCTGTCTTCGCAAAAAGAAAAGGAGTACTTGTGGCACCTTAGAGACTAACCAATTTATTTGAGCATGAGCTTTCGTGAGCTACAGCTCACTTCATCGGATACATAGCGTGGAAACTGGGTGAGATAGGCATTCGCCTACCTAGATCGCTCTGGAGCTTAGGCAGGAGATAAGGTGTCCAGATGCCTAGAATGAGGCTGCAGCATGCATGCCCAGAGGCAGAAATTTAGGCACCTAGGGAACTTTGACAGTGAAAATGTAGGTGCCAAGTGAGTTTAGGCACCTACAGGGTTAGGCGGCAGCCCAGCAGTATTGTTGTAGATTGCAGTGGCACCAATGCGGAACGTACACACCTACATACACCCTAAGCTGCCTGACTACAATAGAGGGGTTCCCAGCTCTGGATTTGCAAGCAGAGACAGACACCCAACTCTGTGAGGGGCTGGGGTTTAGCACCCAGCTGTGTGGTCCACATCGCCCATTGGCTAGTTGGGCAGTTTCCACACCGAGTGTGCTGCCTTTTGTGGATCTCCCATTCTTAGTCGCCATTTATTGTAGGAGTTTAGGCACCTAAATCAGGCTTTTTGTATCGCGATTTTATTCCTGTGATTTCCTAGGTGCCTAGAAGTTAGGCATTGCAATGCTGAGGACTCAGGCCTTCTAACTGAAAACCAACATCTTAAAACCTACCTCACAGGCACTCACAGATAACCAGTGCAGGTCCCTAAACATAGGTGTTGTGTGTTCTCTATCAGGCTCCTTTGGGGGCAACCATATTCTGCATCAGTTCTAACTTGCCAATCAATTTAATGTTTAGCTCCATGCAGAGGACATTGCAATAGTCTAACCTAAACGTCATCTTTGTTATTGACCTTCTAATACAAACCTCCTTGCTAACATGGAAGGTCTGCAGCAACCCGCCCTAATTTCCATGCATAAAAGCTTTTCAACCATTTGGATTTAAATGATGACTACTATTCTCACCAGTAGTAATGTGGTAGCAACCACAGCTCCAGGAGTCAGTATCAGGGCCAGTTGTGGTTGACATTATACAAATACACGAGGGGACATGAATTCACAAAGTTTACTATGTAATTTCAAATCCATCGTAATAAATACATACATACATACATACTTGGTGCTTTTTCTGTTCCCTTCCATCTGAGCATCTCAAATCTGGCTCACAGAAGTATCAGATTAAGCCTTAGGGGATAGTAAGTAAGCTGTCACAGGAGAAAAGGTCCTCTCATGGATTGGTAACTGGTTAAAAGATAGGAAACAAAGGGTCGGAATAAATGGTCAGTTTTCAGAAAGCAGAGAGGTAAACACTAGTGTTCCCCCATGGGTCTGTACTGTGCCCAGCCCTATTCAACATATTCATAAATGATCTGGAAAAGGGGGGTAAATAGTGAGGTGGCAACAAAATGGCAGATGAAATTCAACGTTGATAAATGCAAAGCAATGCACAGAGGAAAACAATCTCAACTATATGTATAAAATGATGGGGGCTAAATTAGCAGTTACCATTCAAGAAAGAGATCTTGGAGTCATTGTGGATAGTTCTCTGACAACATCCACTCAGTGTGCAGCGGCAGTCAAAAAAGCAAACAGAATGTTGGGAATCATTAAGAAAGGGATAGGTAAAAAGACAGAAATATATAAACCCATGGTACGCCCACATCTTGAATACTGTGTGCAGATGTGGTTGCTTCATCTCAAAAAAGGTATATTGGAATTGGAAAAGGTTCAGAAAAGGGCAACAAAAACTATAAGGCGTATGGAACAACCTCCATATAAGGAGAGATTAATAAGACTGTGACTTTTCAGCTTGGAAAAGAGACAACTAAGAGGGGATATGATTGAAGTCTATAAAATCATGACGACTGGTGTGGAGAAAGTAAATAAGGAAGTATTATTTAGTCCTTCTCATAACACAAGAACTAGGGGTCACCAAATAAAGTTAATAGGCAGAAGGTTTAAAAAACAAAAGGAAGTATTTTTCCCACACAACGCAGTCAGTCTGTGGAACTCTTTGCCAGGATGTTGTGAAGACCAAGACTATAACAGGGTTCAAAAAAGAACTAAAGATCATGGAGGATAGGTCCATCAGCTATTAGCCACGATGGGCAGGGATGTGTCCCTAGCCTCTGTTAGCCAGAAGCTGGGAATGGACAACAGGGGATGAATCACTTGATCATTACCTGTTTTGTTCATTCCCTCTGGGGCACCTGGCATTGGCCAGTCGGAAGACAGGATACTGGGCTAGATGGACCTTTGGTCTGACCCAGTATGGATGCTCTTATGTTCTAAATGTAATGTAATTATTCCCACTTTACAGATGAGGGAAACTGGGACACAACAAAGTAAGTAAGTCTCTCACCTAAATTCACACATTAGCTCAGTAGCACAGCCAGAAAGAGAGCCCAGAACTCTTTATTTTCAGTCCTTCATTTTAAACTACACAAACCATCCCCCCAGCCTCTTGAATAAAACTAGAAAACAAAGTACCAGACAAGTGTCTGAAGGTCAGTCATTTTCCTCTGATGCCGGCAAAAACTAGAAGCATAATGGAAGCAATGAACTCAGCCCCTGGTGGCATGCAGTGACCCTTCCAGCTCACACTCACAGCAGCACTGAATAGCCCTGAAAGGAGCTGCGTCCAGTCTCCCTTGTCTGCAGGGTCTTCTTTTGAGGTAGTGGTGTGGGAAATCAAGTGATACCCCATATGACACCACCCCATACACCAGCATTCCACACCCAAAGAAAAACTCCAGAGGTTAATCTTTAAACCAGTGCCACTTAAACTACCCAGTTCTTGCAAACTGAAAAATCATAGGGCTATTAATAAGATATGATTACAAAAAAGCAATTCTGGACCCCAAGGTAATTTTTTAATCTCACAATCTGGGATTTACCACTGACTGTCCCAGGCTTCCAGGAAACATGCTGTGATTGCATTATGTGCATTACATCCATGAGAATTTAGCTAGAAAGGGCTTTTCCTGCAGCTGGCATCTTGTACACCAGGATATAGTCAAGAATGAATCACTGGATTCGCTATGATTCTTCATACATTTCATCAGAGATTATTATGTATCCATGGACATGACTAATGGCTTCATGTAATGGGCAAATCAAAAGTATATGAGTGGGAGGGGGGAGTAACACAGAGTAACCAACAGTTTGCCACTTTGAATGTTTTCCTGGCTATTTGACAAGTAAATCCATTTAACCGTTACATTTGCATTTACCCATTTTATATTTAACACAACGGTTACTCAGTAATGTTTATAGAACTCATGATTAATAGGTAATGCTTTCAGTGTGAAATTTTAGGATACTGAAATTTAAGTAAAATTAATCTCAGAACCTTAGGATTGCAGAACTGCTCTGAGTTTTCATTCCCTAGCTACAATAAACATGAGCCCAAAGGGTTAATGAGGTTCAGTGCTATTGGTATGGCAAGTAGGATTCAAAGCAGTTATTGAGGGTCTAATACTAGATAATGATGACTAGAAAACCAGAGGGCTAATGACATTCTATGCTATAGATAATAAAAGAAATCAGAGGTTAATGAGATTCTATGCTATGAATAAACAGGAGTCAAAGGGTTAACAATGTCCTAGAGCATATATATTGTAAACAGAAATCAAAAGGGTTAATGAAATTATAGGCTACTGATGTAGTAAGCATGAATCACATTTTTATATGGTTCAAGGCTACAGATATGGTTAGCAGGAATCAAAGCGTTAACAAACAGGTTATATGCTACAGCTATGGTACAGAGAAATCAAAGGGTTAATAGAATTCTGTGCTAGAAATATGGTAAATGGCAATCAAAGGCGTTATCAGCAGGTATGAAAGGGTTAATGTCCAAGATACATGTACGGAGCTGCTAATTGTAAAGACAGAATATTACTTGGAAAAACTAATTTGATTACCCAAAAACTCCTGCTAAGGATACTATGCTTGTGGCCATTCCATCTGGCAAGATATCTGTGAAACAGATTAATTGAACTCAAATTAGCGTAAGATTAAATCACTTGATTTCAACAGCCAGCAGAATCCTTCCATAGTGCTTACCATGCACAGACTAGCTCTGCATTTCAACTTTTTCCTATGAAATCCAATAGGCACAGTAACCTGTTACTTGCTTTTTCATTTTCTGCCTCAGCGCTACAACTGAGTCATTCTGTTGCCTATGGCTCCTGGGTATACAGTGTTTCTGCAGCGTGCTGCATTATATCTGAGTTAATCCGTCCACGTTATTTTCTGCTAATGCAGTTGCGGGGTTCGCTTTCTGATGCTTTGTAGACACTTGTCAAAAGCCATTTGGAAAGCCTAAACTATGCATAAATCTGCACAGTGAATGTTTTCCTTTATTCATTTGCTCCTATTATTTGATTTCTTGTAGGCCTCTGCAACAGAAATGGAGAAAATAAGGTAAGTCAGACAGTTTATGTACATCTCATTATAGTCAAGAAATATTCTATTGCACAATAGGTGATATAGGGTCTTGAAAAAATATTTTGCTTAATATGATGGGTGTGAAATATTGGATTGCATGATAATGTGGCAGAAGAGAGCCGTGGTTTAGAGACAATAGGAAGTGAATGTGGTTTGGCTAGTAAATTTGTTTTGCAGACATGTTAATTCAGAAGGGGTATTCTACACACAAACATGTTTTCATTATCAGATGCAGAGTATATTTGATTATATAAATGTTGTAGTCACTTGTCCATTTACTGCAAAAGTATGCCATTCTGTTTTCATGAGAAAGGTGGATCAATAATTTATGAAAAATCTAAAGAAAACATAGGCTTGAATTCAAAGCATCTAATTACTGTGGTTTGTTTCTGTGTAATGCTGTAATAGTGGTGTTCATTTCATTTCTTGACTACCCAGATAAATCTGGTGTCTTCTGTGTTTCAAATGTTGCTATACTGTACAGTTTCTGAGCACAGCTCTCTGCTTTAAGCAAAGGGAGATGGCTTTTATAAATACATAAGTAGCCCCATCTCATGTCTGAGTGTAAGCCTGCTTTGGGGGGGATATTGCTTTTGTACATGTTGCAAAGAAAAAAGAGCATGAATTGTAGCCATTTTTAATCAAATACAGTCTGCTAAATACAATCCACAAACCATATCAACCGATATATGGAAATGCTTAACTATTGATTATCCTTAAAGTATTTTTATAAGGCTTATTTTCATGTCCAGTTATATCTACTAGACTCTCAATTTATTTTCAGTTAGCAAGCCCAAATTCCTTCTCAGGACCTACTGAGGCAGTTTGAACAGCAGGGCTAACTGATAAAGCACAAATCTTAGATTTATTAACTTTAAAAAGGCTACTAAGTTTGTTAAGCAAATGAAGGGAAGTTGCAGTACTCTGGGAACAGCTAGGGAAAGGCAGTAGTGCTCAGTTGTAAGAGAACCCAGAGGTTTGAAGTTAGCATTTGGAGACTTCTGGGCAGGAAGCACAAACAAGTCCCTTGCTGGAGTTTAGTTGGAAAAGAGTGGGAAGGATTAACTCTTACAGTACACTTGATCAAGATGCACGTTTTGGAAGTTCCTGGTATAATTTATTAATTAAGTTAGTGCTGATTTTACATTTCTATGCAGTGTTGTCTCATGGGAATCAAAGTGGTATAATTTATCAGCTTGATAAGACACTTGTGATATAGTGGGGTTATTTGTATACAAAAGAATATAAATAAACGGCACAAATCCTCAAGTCAATGCGAGTTTGGCCTGAGTAAAGACTGAGTAAGAACCTTGGGATTTGGCCCAGTATTAAACAAAACTTTGACTGTATTGAAACAAACATCTGTGACTATGCACACCCATATTTTCATGCACAACTTGGTTCACAGTGCAAGCAAATAATTGTTTATGTACTTGTGTGCACAGATATGGGAACCTCTACAAATATCCCCCCCCCCCCCCAGTGGTCTTGGTGTCTGCTTTTAACAAACACAGCTCTGGCTGTATTTGCAATAATAGGCTGTGGAGCCTAGGAGAAGAATGAATTCAGAAATATATGCAACAAGGGCAAAATTTTGCTTTGACAAGAGATACTTAGCAGCTGACTAGAAAATATTAACATAAGGATATAAACATTTGGGGAACGGATGTTGCAGCTGCTATCCACATAGACTCCACTGAAGTTAGTTACTCTGTGCATGGATCTGCTACAAAGTCAAACCGTAGCAGCCCAATGTCACCCCACTGAAGTAAATGGGTGTTTTACTATTGACTTCAGTGGGAACAGGGTCAGCCTGTATACTAGCATCTTGATATTTATAGCTTGTTGTTTACACTTGCTGTATACAGTATTTTACAAAGCAGGCATTTGTTCCCATTCCATATCTCATCATAAGCACTCTCTGCCCAAGAGGGGCTCAGGAGTAGGACAGTAGGCCAAGATAGGTGGTCATTGGCAGAGCTACTTGGGGGTAAGCTGCACTACTGCAACCTGAACATTGCTTGGCTCATGCCAATCATAGTTGTCTCACACCTGAACACAAACTAAATCCACCTTCAGCATTTTGAAAAATGAAACATTAAAATACTACAGTACCATCACTTTAAAGGTTTGGTGAACTCACAAGCCCTGTAAGATCTTGCCTTCAGGAGCTGTAAAAGTCTCTCTCACAGAGAGTGTGGAGTGTGCTCAACACCTTAAGGCCAGTGCCCTTGGTTTCCTCAGGACTACAAGGCAGTACTGCTTGTAGCTGGGAGGGTTTCTGATGGCTGGCATGTGGGGAAAAGTACAGTATCATGGTGGGAGCCATTCCTATCCTGTCTGGCTTGTGCACACACTGAACTCTCGATGTGCTCTGTCTCTTCTGCTACCAGCTCCTGCCACATCCACTGGGTGGTAAGCTGCAGAGGGAGGTGTCATACACATCAGCAGCTGGGAAGGGCTGGTGGCCATGTGAACAGCAGCTGAGATAAGGCAAGTGAAGAGAATAAGAGCCTCAGGCCACTTGCACTTTTTTGGAACTAGGGTGACTGAGACAGAGCTAAGACTTGAGAAAGCAGGAGGAAGGGGCTTACACCAGGACACAGAGAGAGAATCACATTCATTTGGATCTCATCTGTCTGAGCTTCCACAGGGTGAGAGCTAAAGGTTAAAAAAGGTTCTTGCATTCTGTTCTCCATTTAAAAAATGAGCCTTTTAAGTATCAAAAATAAGCACAGGGACTCCACATTTCATATGGCCCACTCAAACAGCAGCCCTTGGGACGCCACAGGGCCAAATATCTGAAGATTTTAAAACCTGTTCTTATAGAAGTCCTACTGTATTTGAGCAAACCCGATGCATCTGAAGTGGCCTTGAGGAATGGTGCAGTAGGTTCCATAAGACAGACAACTGCTGACCCAGGGATCTACCACACTTTGGAATTATTGCGGTGTTCTGTTGGCCCAGAGCACTTGACTAGCAGTGGTGTTCCAGAGTCCTTTTGCACAGGGGGAGGAGGAGGGGAGAGTGGGAGATTTTCAGAATTTATTCTGGCATGTGGAGAACTTCCTACAGAAATAGAAGCATGCTATTTTTCTGTAAAATTTCAGCTAGAAAAATAATTGCTAAATGAAATCTTCATGCTGTGACTAATTCTTAGCAGTATAGAGTAGTGTTTACAATAGCTAGAGGTACCAATATATTAGGCAGGAATTAAGGCTAACTACTAATCACAAACCTCTTGGGGATCAGCATTTATCTAGGTTGGGTGTGCATGTTTATCCAGACACTTTAAAACATTAATTACTACTGAATACAACCTTTTAAAGCACAGTTTTTGGATTCATTGCTCAAATGTGTCTACCAAGAAGGGATGAAAATTTCAGACCTATGGTATGTAACAAAGTAGAGTTTTGAAATGTACATTATGTTCTGTTCTATTTAGGTTGCTGATATGGGAGCTGAGTGCCAGATTTTTCGGGTGATCTAGAAAATTTAGCATAAATTAAATACAATTTTATTTAGCATTACTTAGTTGGTTTTTTCATGCTTCCAGCCTTGCACATCCATGTTTTTTGATGCACCAAAATGTGGCCACTCTGAAGATTGTGCACGCAGATCCAGAGGTCAAAACTGATAGACAGTATGACCAGGACAGGGAGCCAGGACTTGGGGGTTCTACTGCCTAGTAAGCTACAGATTCATCCCCCTTCAAATTATAGGGTAATAATATTTTCCTATTTTGCAAGGAAATGGTTGTGAAGTTGAGTCTAAAAAGTCCTTTCAGATCCTTGGATAGAAGATGACCACCTCAGAATACAAAGTTATTTTATCTGTTTTCAACCCTAACTCAGTTTTTGATACTATCCCGTGTGGGAAAAGCTATTTTTCTCTCCAGGTAATCCTAGTGAGGTCAATAGGACTATTTGTTCAGTCGGGTTCTGTTCAACCTGAGTAAAAATATCAAAGTATATCCCTAAATTTAAAATGGCAATCCAGACATACCAGGAATCAGTTCTAGACCCACACAATGCAGAAACAGGATTTATTGTATCTCCCTATATGGAAGTTTAAATAGATGACTCCCCCTGCTAATTCCTTTTTTGCATCTCCTATTCACATCAGTGGTATAGCAAGATCATGACAAGTAATTAGTTTAATCATAGTGCATGGAGCAGTGGTTGGTTCCCTATTGAGGTGTTTACATTCTTTTTAGTGTTAGTTGTAATAATTATAAAAGTAATAGGACTTCTGTGACAATTCATCAAAGGAACTCAAGTAAGTCATTTCTGTAAACTGCCAAAAGTCTTGACAACCCTGTGATGGGAGCAGGTCTGATCCTCATGTTAAAGATGACAAAAATGAGATGAACGGATTTGCCCAAAGTTCACACTTACAGAGCCGGTGATAGAGCCTCTCTCTTGAATTCTCATACTGTGCTTCGTAGCTGGATATTTGAGCTGATCTGGGATAACTGATGGGTCTGCTTATTGATTAGTGCAATTTTAAAAGATAGGCAAAGACACCCAGAGCACTGGAGGAACGCTGTTATTGTAGTTGAGTAAAAAAACTGAACACACATGCATGTCCACTCGACCATGCTGCATTCCCAGCACTTGTTACAGCTCTCTTCACATGGTAATGCATACGCCTGCCTGCCACTAAGTTCCTTCCAGTCTGCCTTGACTCCTCTATGGTTTGCTCTTTCTCCCACCTCCCCCCCTCATTTTTTTAAAAACAATAAGAATTTTCCCATCGGGCAGCACCAGCAGCAATAGCAACAGTAAGAGACCTAGTGTAGACAAGCTTCTGAAGCCACTGGTGTTCCTAATGCTGTCATTTAATCCTGCTCACAGGAGTTCTGAACTACTCCGTTCTCTCAGTCTCATCCCTGACACAACTATCCCCCTTATAACCAAATCCTCAAGGAGACATGACAGACATTAAACAGGCTGAGAGCTCGGGGAAAGCCTCAC